TAATTAACTGGGCCCCCTGCCCAAGGCTGGTATTACCAATAATAAGATTGAGGCCGGGGTCCTCACAGTCTGCCCGGAGTGATCAAACCGAAACTGCTGAGAATCGGGCTCAGCGTCCCTCAAATGGTTATAATGATGACCATGATGATACTGATGCTACCATAGATAATGATGCTAATGAGAATGATGATTCAAATATATGAAAAAATATAGAAGATTCTGCTACTATATCAGCTATTCTGGCCTCTCTGACGAGGCTGTACTCTAGGTAGGGACAGATTCGTAATTTTGTTTGGCTGAGGACTAACCGAGAGACCTGCCTGTATGGAAAATTCATGAGGGACACATCTGTAAATACTAAATATAGAAATATGGGCCCAGTACTAACTCGATTTTCCTACAGCTACCCTAACTGCGAATAGCGGACCCGGGCTACCCCTAGGACAGACAGGGCCCTATGGGCCTACGCTGATAGACGGTCCTATAGCCTATAGCCGGGTAGGGAGAGGACCTAGAGGCCGAAACAGAAATGGTACCGGTCGGTCAGTCAGTCCGGTCTAGGTCGGTCTAGGCTAGTAGTAGAGTATAGATAGGATGGGGACATCGGTCCTGGGCTTTTGGCAGTTGACACTTCGTGGTGGAAGTAGCTGCGCACACGGTATCAGGTCGTGGTTGCTGATTCCCATGGTGGAGACGGCGGACATAGCCAGACCTTCGGAGCGCTGACCGGACTGGGGTCAATGCTGTCCGCTCTGACTCTCTGAGAGTCAAAGCAGTCTGGGCTATCAAAGGTCTGATGCCTTGGAGCACGTGGTGCAGTGCTGACCCTCCTCAGGAGTAGGGTCCCAGTGGCGATGCAGCCATAGCTGCATCTTCTCAGAGATATCATCATCTGGACTCCATCTTCATCAGGGACTGTTGGCGCTGAGCTTCTTCTTCATCATCAGGGTGGCGATTGGATCTGGGAGCCTGTTTCACTTTGGCGCAGGCCACTGAGTTGGATGTCAGGGTGGCGCTGGGTGTTACCTGGGGTTTCGGTGCTGTTTTTAGCTGTTCCGGGTGGTGGGGTTGAGGCGCTACCCCTCTGAGGGTAGCGCAACAGGGTTCTGAGGTTATTCAGTGGAAACGATGCTCTGAGTTTAATAAACAGTTGTATTACTGTGTTTGAGTTGTCATCTCTTCATTGATTTCTGGCTGTGATCACTCGGTTGTCTTCTATGAATGATTGTTGGGATCTGTGTGGAGAGAATTCACAGTTTGTGTGTTCTGTCACTTCGCTCCTCTGAGTCTTCCGCTGCGTTTCTTTCTGTTGGGTGGTGTGATACTCCACTACCTCTCCCCTTTCTTCTGTGCATGTATGGGCGTGTACAGGAGTTCCTGTGAGTGAGTGTTGATAAAATTTCAACAGACAATCATGTTCATAACACCACGATCAAAACATTTTTGCCCCCAAAGGCCCACAGAAAGTGTGCCTGTCTTCAGGGAATGTTGAGGGGCATGCCCTCCAGCTGACCTCCCTTTATGGTGAAATATATTTTGAATGGCATTCTCCTCTCATCAATGTCATCATTAGGTAAAAGCACACATGCAAGCGCACGTCGTGCGGGCGGTTCCCTACGTGCGGCGCACACACCCAACCGATCCCGTGCGGCGCACGATGTGTGCGGAGAACGACCCGTCACCCCCCTCAGAAAAAAAAAAAAAAGGCCGGGGTCGAAACGCTGCGTTTGAGGCCCCCCGCCAAAATTATAAGCGAGATGGAAAAAAAAATTTACAGGAGTACTGCCTCACCTTGCTCCTCCTCCCCTTCCTCATCCTCCATGTCTCCTCCTCCCTTCTCCTTTTCGTCTCCTCCTCCTCCTCCTCCTCCTCCTCCTCCTCTTGTTCGTCCTCCTCCTCCTGCCCTTCCTCATTCTCCTTGTCTCCTCCTCCTCGTACTTCCTCATCTTCCATGCCTCCTCGTCTCCTTCCCTTCCTCATGTCCTCCCCTTCCTCGCCGTCAATGTCTCCTCCTCCCACTCGTCGTCTTCTTCCTGCCCTTCCTCTTTTCCCTCCGTCCATCTCTTCTCCTCCCCCATCTCGACTCCTCCTCCTCGTCGTCCTCGCTATCCTCGTCGTCCTCGCTATCCTCGTCATCCTCCTCGTCAAATCCTCCTCCTTCTCTCCATATCCCGCTCTCCTCGCCATATCCCCATCTTCCTGTCATACGGCCCCCCCGTTCCCCCTCCCAAAAAAAGATAAAATAATAATAATAAAAATAAAAAACCTGCACGATTCCGCACAGGCACCCCCCGCACGGAACTCCGCACGAGTGTGCGGCTCGTGCGGTTGCAAGTATGGGTAAAAGTGACGACGGGTAGCCGAATAAAACACACGCTCCTTGACTGCACCTGAATGTGTGCATGCGTGCCTGCATTTGCTGGGGGCCAATTCTTATGTAACAGTTGTGTTCGCTTTTTTTTTTTTGTCTGTATGACAATCAATTGTTTATAATTGGAGTTCCATTCCAAATATTTCTGTTGTCGAGAAGGGCTACTGTCCTCCCCCAAATGCATCATCTTTCCCAAATTGAGACTGTCACAGTCAGGCTGACGTTGCTGAGGGTACGTTGTGCCTGGGGGAAGACAACAGCCATATTACTTGCCATAATGCCATTCATATTCCTTATTTCGTTATATATCGTCAAATATAATTAAAAAAAAGTATTCCTTATTTTCAATACAATTCAGCAGTAGTCGATGATCAGCAAGGACTTCTTCTATGTAACTGCAAGGATGGATAGGTTAAAGGGACCTTGGAAGGAGGAGGAGCAATTCAGGTTCAGTTACTTAAGGCCAATTTAAGGGGAAAAACGAAAAAAGAAAAAGGAAAAAAGAAAAAAGAAAAAAAGTTCAGGGATGAGACCAGCCATTGGATCAGAGCATCGGCTGAGTGAATTCAAACTGTCTTTGGATTTTTTTTTTTCACTGTGATCAGGAAGACGAAAGGCTCGAAAGCAACTTAAGGAATGGGCGAACAAAGTAAACGTTGCCACATTGGGAGAAGAAGGTTATAACCACACGCACCTGGCAAGGAACTTGAGAGATGTTCTTGATGATGAGCTCGCGAATGTGCTTGTTAATGAAGTACTGACTGAGCTGCACTGGGGTGAGGAACTTAGCACCGGCTATGACGCGCACACACTTTTGTCGGATGAGTAGGACCAGCTCCACCCAATCCAATCAAAAAAACACATCCAGACGCCACCGACTCCAACAGATGTTGAAGAGGATCACAGTTTTCCCAAGAAGGTTGACATCCAGTACAGAATGAACACCAGACAGTCACTGTCATTACTACGGTACTACCATCATCAGCATCATTATCATACATCATTATCATCATCAGTGACGGTTATGATGAAAGGCCAACAAACCACAAAGGGGTCCCAAAACCCATCAGCAATGAGCATTCATACAACTCCCCTTTCTTTCTCTCTTTCTCACATGCACACACACATGGAATAGGCTAAACTTCCGCTAAAGAGCCCATCGGCAAGACACACACACACACACACACACACACACACACACACACACACACACACACACACACACACACCTGTCTCTTATACACATCTAGATGTGTATAAGAGACAGCACACACACACACACACACAGAGAGAGAGAGAGAGAGAGAGAGAGAGAGAGAGAGAGAGAGGTGCGGCATAAGGTTGTGGTATTCAGCATAGAATGAGGATCCAGACCTCATGTGGAACAGAGGCAATCATTCATATATTCTTTCTCAATCTCCTACCAAGCCCACAATAAAGCAAAATCCTGTCACTTAGCAAGACACTCCCTTCCATACATCTGTATCTTCTGTCTGGGAATACGCGCAGTGACCTTTGTAGTGTACTGAACCTACTGAAGCACATCATGATTGTCTGCATTGCAAGCTGAGTGAGGTGTGAGGGATGATATGAGTGTCCATGCTGCCCATGGCCAGATTTAGACAGGTAGCATGTTTCCGCATACTTTTTTTTTTTTTTTACATTTTTTTATTATTATAAAATGCTGGGAACCGGGCCCAGCGTCCCTTACATAAGATGAGGATGATGAAGATGATGCTGATACTGATGATACTGATGATAATGATGATAATGATGATGTTGATAATAGTCTATGATAGTGTATATGTTTCCGACAACTTTCCGCAGACTACAAATGTCACCAGTCAAAGGTTTTTCCTTGTTCATTCTCCAGCTCCGAGTCTCAGGGCTAGGAACAGAAAAGGTAGAGGTGATGAAGACAAATATTACTGGGCAGGGAAGAGTAAATGACCCTAAAGGCCCTAAACCCTAAACCCTAAATTCTAAACACCAAGACTCCTGGTCTGCCTGCTACCCGGATTGCGTAAGAAAAAAGAATTGAATTGGGGGCAATCCAAGGTAGGAAAGTGGGGATCTTGATTTCCCTCTGCCCCTCAATGCAGGTGTTAGCAAGCCCTGCTGCCCTGGAGGATTTGGCGAAGAACGATATCTTGCGGGAAGCTACTTCCGTCATGTGCTCCTTTCGACCATAAATCAGGTACTGTAGTAATCCAGCAGAGAACGATATCTTGCGGATTCCTTAGATAGTTAAACAACTGAGAAGGAATGAAACATGTGTCAACGTGTTAGAAAAAAAAAAAACAAGAAGAAAGGCACAAGTAGGTTTATGCCTTTGAAAGGGTGAAAAAAACATGTGTGGGAACCTTTGTCGGGGCCCGAGTTCAAAAGGGCATGTGAAACACAGGTGGGCAATCGCATCAGGGTCGAAGTTTTATACGGCCAGTTGTGAAAGTTTGAACGGGCACTTGTGTGGCGGTGGTACCGGTACAGGTCTGTTCCCAGGTTCGGGGCCGAAGAAAGCTATTTTCCCAATGGAGGATGGACACGGTACCATGGAACAATGACGGGAGTCTTTCAATCCATTCTCCCGGCTGCCGTTCTTCTCTCTCTCTCTCGCGTGCGCGCGCGCACGAACATGACAACTCACACACAGTTCAACCTCCTGATGAGTCGGTGAAAGTCCGATGAAACACTCCACCACAATCATCAGGAGAGAGAGAGAGAGAGAGAGAGAGAGAGAGAGAGAGAGAGAGAGAGAGAGAGAGAGAGAGAGAGAGAGAGAGAGAGAGAGAGAGAGAGAGAGAGCACGCAAGGTGGTGCTGCCACGTGTGAGTTGTCATGTTCACTATCCCTCCATCCTCAACAGGGTTCCCGCCGCTGTAGGAGTAGAAGTGCTCACCCTCTCATCCATGCATGAAGCCGCCTCCCGACAGGTGAGCCTCTATCCGCTGCCCCATCAATGTCCTAACATGCAGTGTATTTCTGTCTGAAACTCAACTCGAACTGCGACCAGGTGCATAATGGACATCAGACAAGTTGTGGGGATGCAGTCTTTCTGCCTGAATCCAACCTCGAAATCCGACCAGGTGCATAGCAAGCATCAGGCGAATCCTGGGAATATCACGCACTGTATATATCTGCCTGAATCTGAGCTCTACCGCCAACCTGGTGCATAACAGACATTAGGCGAACAGTGGGGACATCTTTACAACTCGCCAAACTAGCAAGCTCCTCCTACATGTGGAATGGAAGGTGGCCGCCTTGCCAATTTCACTGAAGACTATCAGCATTCTCCTCTCCCTACCCCCTTCTTGTCATCATCATCATCTAATCTCTCCTCCCCCTTCTCTTCGTCCACCCATTTAATCTTCGAATCATCATCATTGATCCATTCCTTTCCTTTCCCCAGTGCTCTCCTGGAGGTTGGAGGATACTGAAATCCGCTGCTTCCACCCCTCCTCCCCCTCCTTGTTCTCATCTTCCTCCTCCTTCTCCTCCTCCTTCTCCTCGTCCTTCTTCTCCTCCTCCTCCTCCGACTCCTCGTCCTCCTGTTCCTCCTCCCACGCCGCTGCCGCCTCCTCCTCCGAGTCGTGCATCCCCGTTAGTGGCATGCGCTTTTTTCCGCTATCATCATGGTCCGCCCCCTCCCCCTCCTCCTCCTTCCTTGCCACTGTCTCCTCCTCCTCCTCTTTCCTTGGAAGGAGAAGGAGAGGGAGGTGGAGCACGATGGCCGGAAAAAAAACGTGACCTGTGGATATATCTCAAGACTGTCGCCCTTTCAAAAAAAAAAAAAAAAAAAAAAAGGCCTGGCCTGGCTGCAGCCAAATGGAGCAGCTTAGACGGCTGAGGGGCTTGTTCAGATCTCAGAGTGCCAGGCCAAGAAAAATGCAGAGAGTGCGAGAAAACACTAAGAAGGAAGTGGAAACAGCTACCACTCACCTCTGGCGATCAACGGTGTACTGAGGCCAAGAGGAGAATCTGGTTGTGGTGGAGCCTTCACCTGGGAATGTTTAGAATTCTTTTCCCGAATCAGTGCTTTAAACCACCAGTACTTGGCCCAGCTATCGTCCGTGGAAAAAAAATAGCTAAGAGTAGAAACGTTTCTACTCGGATGAATTTGGGCGCTCCTGTAGTGGCCCATACGTTTCCTAAACTCGTGGCTTGTTAACTGGCACGACTTTAGGAAGTTACTGTACTGGTTGTTTAAAAAAGGAGACTCCAAGAAAAGGTTGGAGGTCAAACATAAACATAAAAAACCAGAGAAAAATAAAGCAATCCGTTTGTGAATCATAAGAGGGGAAGGCAACTTCCTTGCGAGTTCTTAGAAAACAAATGGAAAAAAAAAAAAAAAACATAAAAGACTGAGCATTATCAAATGGCATGAGAGGTTTCTACTAGACAGTGCTCTCCGGGACCCCAAAAGTTTTGCCAAACAAGGGATGGGGGGGTAATATATTGCGGTTGCTGTCGGAACAGCTATCAATCAGTGTCATCTGGAAGTTGAGGAACGGAACGACAGGCTGTTCAAGGGCAAGATTTACGCTGACCTGAGTACTGAGGATGGGGGTATACCACTCAACAGCATTTGCTCAATGATCTGGCGGATTGAGGGAGGGGTTGGGGGGGGTGGAGGGCAACGAGATTGAGCACCTTCTCGCGGATTGAGGGGGGGGGGAGAGCAACGAGATGGAGCACCTTCGTCTGACTCCTCGATGGTGTGGACGATGGATTGACTAGTGGGGAAACCACCAGCTGGGAGTGGCATGTCATTTGCATCCTTGCTGTTGGGCCCTTGACCACAATTATGAACTACGGTAGCTGAATAGATGAAAACCAGGAAGCCCACTCTCAGAGGTGACGATGTTAACAAAAAAAGAAAAGAAAAGAAAAAAAAGAGACGATGTTTTCCGTTTTCTCTTGAACGGCCTGCCAGTGGGCTGTTTCTGAAGAATCTGAACTCTGCTGAGCAGGAAGATTTTTTTTTGGCATCTTGAAGACAATTCCCTCAGAAATCAACAGGGCGCGTAGACTCTGGAGTCTGGAAGAAGTGGATGCCCCAAAAAGTTCACACTAGCCGCATAAGACAACGGGAAAAAGAAAAAAGGATAACAGGTTGTCTCATGTTGTGAGTCAAGTCTATGGTTTATTGGGAAGCTGGTCACGGGTTAGGGCATTAGGGCACGTGCTGCTCCCCACGCATAGAATGGAGCCATCGAACAACAGACTCCAACTCCGAGGGTGCTTGTATCACCCCTCAGGGTAGTTGTCTGCGAAACTCATGGTGTTCTCAGTAACATTTATACACGAAAAAAGAATCAGAGATGTTTTCAGAAGAAAGCAAAACATGGAATAAAAAGAACGCACACGCATGGTCTCGTAGGTCACGGTAGATGCAAAATGCAACAACTCACAGTGCACAACACACATGCGCACACGCACAGTCGTGCGCGCGCTCGTACACACACACACACACACACACACACACACACACACACACACACACACACACACACACACGCACACACAAACACAAACAGGTGGAAAGGGGCTGTTCTGGTCAACAGTCTACAACACACTGGCAAACACGCATCCGCGCGCGCACACATGTACAACACATGGGCAAGCAGGCACACACGCTAGCCTGCGCGCGCACAAACACATGCGCAAGCACGCACGTACACACACAGCGATGTGTGCCTCGCCTGCGCACGCACGCACGTACACACACACCGACGCACAGACACTCCCGCTGGCATTCATGCACGCGACACACACACACCTGTCTCTTATACACATCTAGATGTGTATAAGAGACAGGTACTCCACAGGCACCCCCCGCACGGAACTCCGCACGAGTG